TGTGGCGCCCGAGCGACCGGCTGTGTTCCGCTTTGGGGATCAACCTGTAGCCATGGTGATCGTCTCCGTTTTCGGGTCGGCCTGCACTGCGCGTCATCTGCTGCTTGCATCTTATGTTGTGATCCACATAGCCGCTCAGATTCGGTTTCCAAGTCAAAGGTGTCTAACAGTATGTCCCATGGTAGGGATGGCGGTGCTGAGAGACTTTGAGACTTGCCCTGATTCGGCCTTGGCTGATTAGCGTGCTTGACCCATTTCTCATTTCCTACCATTAACTCGTAAATGACCCGACCATTTCTATGGATTACTCTTCCTGTCGACCACCTGCTCGGTCCTCGGAAGTCTCGTGCGTACACCATATTCCTAATGTTGAAATGGAGCATGTTGTCTTCTGCTTTTCCCCCGCATGATAACTGCAATGCTTATTGTTCCTGCTTGGCACAAGACGCTTTGCTCTGGATACTGGTTTAGTGATTGCCTTGAGTTTCAGGGCAACACTAATGATTCTGCAACATTCTGAACCAGATTGGAGTATTGGTTCGTGACTTTGATTCATCTGCGTAGTCTGACTGTCCTTGATTGCTACCGTCGCATCTTCAGGTCTGATGGGCACATCAGATTTCGAAGTGGCAGTAGTGTTGCTCTTCCCTTGTTTCCGAATTTGCGACCACATTTTGTCTAGAAATTAAGTTGAGCAACGTCTGGCATTCTGAAACAAATTCTTGCGATGGCAGCTTCAGTTTCCATTCAACTGGGATGCTTAATTTTTAAGATAGCGGTTCGACCAATTGCCTCTGTGACTTTTCAAACTGCGACTGCTGCAAAAGTGCCTGCAATTGTTCAAAACTGTCTGACATATTTGGGTTTTTCTGACACCTGTCGCCACTGTTGTAAAACGGTTCTTCTTTCCTCTGCCACTCCCAACCGCGCCAAGGGAAAGTACGTACACAGTTGGGCACACTAACGTTCTATCCACAAGTATAAGAAAAAAGTATAACTAGCTGTGTTTTTAAATACTCACTGGCCTACGCGATCGATCGTCTGATCGACCGCACAGAGGCAGACGCTTCTCAAATTCAGCTGCGCTTACGTCACTATTAAAGGAATAACTGAAAGAACATATGGGTGCGGAGGTGATGAAAGGGCAAAAAGGTTTCGTGCGATTCATGGAAGTGAAAGATAGGTACAAGCTTGAGCTCTCCATATCGCTCAAGAGGTATACCTAGTATCGTTAGTATTGTACTTCGGACATTTTCGAGAGTTGATAACAAGAGTATATAATGTACAGCCGGTTGCGCTCGAAATTCTCGAAGGGGAGAAGCGTAAGAGGAGTTATCCGATGTGTCAGTGCACAAGCGTATACAGGACATCGCAACTGCGTGGGGGTGAGGCTCAGGTAGACGCTACGGGATACAGGAACGAAGGCGAGCTGGAATGAGGGACACAGCCGACAGGATCCAGCAAACCGTGATTATTTGCACCCAAACCTTGACCTGGCTCCCATCCTAGCCTCTGAAGCAATCGATGGCCCAGGTTAGTCTGCGGAAACAGAGTAACAAGAGAAAGCAAGTAAGCGGATAATAACCGACCAGTGAGTTTTTCGCGATGGATGCAATGAACAGTCAGCTCCATACTTACTTCATTCATAGGTGATATTTCACACAACTCAGGCGCAAAGTAACCGAGTCCCGGATGATTGCTTTCACACCCCTTACTACGGCAAGGGCTGGAAGAACTGCCAGTGATGGTAGAAGCATCTTCTTCCACTTCGTCATCGGCTGCGAGCCAAGGTGGAGTGGGAACTCTGGGTCCACTCCCCCTAATCTGTAACAGAGAAATTGGGACGAAAATAAATGATAACCTGTGCGGATGAAAAGGGGTTTAGGGGAGAGTGTGCACGGAGGGAGCGTTCTGACCTATAATAAGTTCGTGCTCAAGTCGAGCAATTTCAAATGTTCTTACAGTACAAACGTGCAGTAACGGAAAAGTGCGCGAAACATGTAAGATAATAGAGCCGAAAGCTAATCCGAGAACGATGAGCATTAAGTCAGACAAAACGACGGTCAGCAGGCTGATTGTTTTGGAGTCGGCTAGCACTCATACAATAGGCGTAAAATTGAGTGTCACATATGTGCAATGGGTGCATGTGCTGTAACCCGTTTAAAAATGGAACCACTTATGGTGGATAGCACCGTCTCTTAATGGCGAGCAGTGGTTTCCTGAAACCGGTGATCGAGACAGCGGCATCAAACAGGTGATCCCCTGGGAACCAATTGAACCGAAATTCTGTGTAATTGATAAACAACCACTTTAAACTAACAGTTCGGAATGGAACCTGTACATAATGATCGGACCAGGTTCACTGGCCTGTCTCGCACTTTTTAGTGATAGGCATATTATCTTAGCAGCACCGAATGTGGCAAAACTTCATATATCACTCGTTAACCCATCCGAACGGCAATGCAGGTAGCGCCGAGTACATTGCATTCGGTCGATAAGACAATATTAAGGCGTCCCTAAAGGCGACCGAAGAGAGGAGGAATCACATGGCTTTACAATCAGTACGGACTGACAGACCACTTCAGCTGACTGTTCGATGACTGTGGAATAAAGCAGCATTTCCGCTCAGTTCTGATGTAGAGCTCTGTGCTTCGAAGGTACTAGGCCTACACCGAAGCAGGTAGTGTTTTGTGACAGTCTACCAAGAGGGGCTTATAAGGAAGTTGGCCTCGACCCAAAAAGTCACCATGTCATCGGTGTAATTTGTGTCACTTGGTCATCGGGTAGAACCCGTAACTAAGACAATGGGAAAAGAAAGGGTTATTCGTGGTCTTATTCATCGCAAATATGAACGAAAAGAAAAGCTGAGGTAGCCATGATGAGTTCCACTTGTTGTGGCAGACTTAAATACTTTCCAGCATTTGCAGTAACGAGATTTGGGAACAGAGGAACTTTACGGTGCACCCTACAAAAGCAGAGTGACAAAGACATCAGCTGGAATACACAAGGTATTTGATTGGAGGAGGAAGATCAAGGTAGGTGGCTTAAATGTATCGGGCTTCTTTAGCATCTTTCGGTGCTAATGCATGGTGAACGAGCCAAATGCTGGGACTAAGTCCCGATCAGCTCTATTGGCTTCTAATTTCCAGAATGCGAGTGAGTTTTCGCAGTGCAACATACATGAGAATCTTGAGAAATGGTAAATGTATCAGCGCTACGATTATCTGTGCAAAATGTGTTTGGACTTTTGATGACGGAAACAACCACTGAAGGCATCGCTTCAACGTACTATATGCTGTCGAATAAACCAGCCGGACAAACAAACGCATCGCGCGACCACTTTATAACAACGGTGGAGAGGTCGTCGCGTCCGGGAGCATTGATTAGTTTCAATCGTATCTTCTAAATCAGATACCCTCGAAAGTAGAAGGCGAGACGCTTACATTCTAAGTAAGTTCGGGTGATTCAAGAGAAGACGGGGGCTGATTCTCCGAAACATTCTGCCCATAATTCCGACCGGCAAGGTTTAGAATAGAGTGATCGTTGTATTCTCTAGTAGAGTCCCTCAAACGGAGACCTTACGGAGGAATCAAAAGAAATTTAGATTCTTCCAAACAGACCTGACTTCTGCGTCATTACGAGTAGCCATTTCCGAATAGCACCAGCGATCAACGCTGTGGGCCGAAGCCTGACGCTGTCTTAGTTATGCATGGCAGTTAAAGATGACTGATTGGACCGCCTTCTGTGATATACCAACAAATCAAGGCCTCAGAAGCCCATCTAGCAATCGGAAATCTCATGATGGCGAACAATTGGCGCACATAACTAACTTCACGGCATAGTACTGATTCCAACCAGCATCAGTAGCTAGGGGACATATGCCCTATCTTAAGTTTTCAGTACGCCCCCACCATGAACAGCTTCGAAGAAAGCAAAGAAGTCCCAAGAAGAGTAGGCCCTGTGAGAGTTATTAGTCGGATGAATGGATACTGCGACCACTATCCGTAATAAGAGTGCCTAAGTAGGTGGCTTAGCGGACACACAAAATCGCCGAGGAAGTTGTTTACAGCTGTACCAATTCTGTGCTGATAGTTATGGGTAAAACAGCAAAAAGAGTTGGAAAAACGCATTACCTGATCAAAAGCGATCATGCGTTTGGCAATTCATCATCAGGCTTGTACAATTACATGGGGATCAAAATTTGTATACAGACCAAACGGGTCGTCAGTCTGCCAACTGAGTCTAGTGTTCGATACTAAGCGCCGACGGTCATGTCTCCGCTGTAGTCACACGCGCACGGGTCAACTGTAATCCGACCTGACCAAGGTAGACTCAACGGGTGAGTGAATCTTTTCTGCGTGCACAGCCTTGGTTCGTACAACCGAATGGTGATGGCTTCTGAGGCGTCTAATATCCACTTACGGAAATACTCTGATTGATTTCCTGGGGCTTGATAAATTACTTTGAAGGAATCAGCCGACTTGGTGGCGTGACGAGTGGCCGCAAAATGCGCAGCGATGGCAGAGTTGGTGGCCTTTCGACCTCCATTTCCGAGCGAAGTCGGATGGTGTCCCTTCACCCTTTCGGCTAAGCGTCTAGTAATACGACCAACGTCTTGAGTGGTCGGGCGATACGTGGGCGACTATCTACAATGACGATAACTACTGGTTACGCGGGTGTCAGTCGCTGTTACACGTGCGGAGATTTTGACTTCAATATGAATGCACATGGCACACGTTCCCTAGTTTCGGGATTACTTATGCATTACATAAACTCACAATAGAGAAAGCAGGAATACTGAGCCAAAATAAAAAACGAGGCGTAGAGAGCAACGCAGATGAACCAAGTAACCGTTCGTATCTCATACAAAAACGATCAAAAGATCCAATTGAAACCAGCTGTTCAATGGACTTATGGGGCGCGCATAATGACGTTTTAAATCAAGTTAGAATTATAGACCCAATTGATGACAAGGTTTAGCGCAGAAGTCCGCAGAACGAAAAAAGTCAGTAGTTCCGGAGATCCAGGTGTTACCCTACGTAATCCAAAGTCCGAATAAGCCAAACGGTCGTGCAGATATGGCGGCTTGTCCCGTTTTCAACTTATCCAGTCATGGCGTTGCTTGCTATATCGGTGTCATTTGCTGGCCACCCTAAAATCGCATGCGCGCTAACCGTCACACTAATAAAATTGAAAATTCGGTACGTACTGGAGCCACAAAAGCGAAGTAAAACGCCGCTTCCTTATGGCTCCCTTCAATCAGCACCGAATGAGGAGATAACCAGCTCGTTTATGGTCTAGCGCTTCATCTTGACGCAGTACACTTAACGGAAGGGGTGCCTTCAGGTTAACAGTAGTCAACTCAATAGGTCAGAAGCGTTAGTGAAAAAGTATCGAATAATAAGCGTCACTGGTATTGCTCCTAAAGTGATCAAAAGGAGCGTGCTTCTGGACAAACTGATCAATGGGACAGCGAACACGGAAAGTCGGAATGATCCTCGCACTGGCGAAGAACGCATTACCCAAGGTTTCACTCTCGATCAGACACTCGATTGGCGCAATTCATAGTGACGACTTACCACGGTTGTTGTGTTCATGTTCACAGCGCACACTAACAAGGATACTTCGATGGATGAAAATACGTCGCATACAATTTAAGTCAAGTAAAGGAAAACTTTATCTATCCGGATGGGTGCATTTTTAGCATTACACATTATCTACTAGATGAACAAAGATGACACAAAAAATACAACCTTTTACAAATGGATAGAGGAAAAGGGTGCGCTGTTACCGCTTGCGAAAACAGCCCCGCTTTCCAGGACACATCGCACAGTGCGAAACAGAATTGTTGGGATATGTAACCAGTGGACAGAGCAGAGTTTTACTAAAACATTTCTCCATAACTGGTTTCGACTGGCCTAAAATTTGGTGAGCAAAAGCAACAAAACCGCGAATCATGCACAGTATCTCGACCTCTGTATCAGAAATTTGGATAGAGTAGGACTGTCTCAGTGCTTTTGGAAATAAATTGGCCAGAGAAGTTGTCAATATATTTCTACAAAGGTGATATGTGCACAGAAGATAGCGAAAAAAATAATATTCGGCGAAAAAGAATACGAACAATTGAAAGGCTCCGCCACGGTTCGCCAATCTCCGAGAACTAAGCAATAAGTGAGTAGTGAATCAAAATGGCAACAACTGGAGGTAGCTTGAGTTCCACTTATCGCGCCTAACTTTGCAACTGAAATGAACAGTGAACACCTATGATTACTGCAAAAAAGGCGATAGTTCGGAAAAGACTAGAAATGAGGTGGCTGAACTCGGTACTAGTGAAAATGCTAACAAGAATCCCGAATTGGAGTTTCTGCTTTCAAAGTGAAAATACCGCACTAGGATAGAGTTTGTTCCTTACGTGACAGTTTGTGATTAATGGAGTGTGACTCGAATAAGTTGATTGAATCGTGTGTTAGACAGTTATACGCTCTTTAGACACCTAAACTAATGAAGCGACAACCCTGTCTGTCAGAAGGCCTACGTGGCCCTCAAACGCTCGGTTCCACATGAAGACGGTGAATCGCCAGTACTCCACCAACGGCAGCGTTCACAGTGTTGCGCTGTGACTAGTATCACGGTATCACAAACAGCCAATCGACGATGAAAGCATGTTATGGACCACGGGTGACTATGATATGCTACAGGTGGTTGATGGGAAATCGAGCGAACAGTCCTAAGGAGCGACAGCTGATGTTCGATAATCAGGCGCCACAGGATTGATGGAGTCCTGAAGTAGGTGAAATGCGCGAACCCGCTGGAAATACAAACGG